TGATTTTTCAGGCATAAGAACAGTTTTATACCATACTAGCATGCTAATAAAATTCTGAGCAAAGAGATGTTTTTCTCAAATGTGTATTTCCTCAAAAAAATTCCAATTAAGAGTTCACTACTTTTCAAAATGAAAATGGTATTTTTAAAAACTGAGAATACAGGAACATTAGTTTTAATATGCCCAAACTGGAAAGAATCCATCAGAATGGCTATGCAAATTAAAACATACTGAAACAACACAATACTGTATACCAAGGAGAATGAATAATATACAAGTACATGCAACAACATGGATCAATCTCACAAACATAATGGTGAGTAAAAAAGCCAGACATAAAAGAACATATACTGTATGGTTCCATTTTTATAAGTTTCAAAAAAAGTAAAATTAATCTATGGAGTTGCTAACAGTCAGGATAGTGGTTAATTTCAGTGGGGAGGAATGACTCGAAGGAGTTAGGAAGGAGCCGCTACTTCTCTCTCTCTCTTTTTTTTGTTTGAGTTTTTTATTTATTTAAGAACTCTCTACACAGAATGTGGGGCTCAAACTCAGGACCTTGAGATCAAGAGTCACATGCTCTTCCAACTGAGCCAGCCAGGCACCCCAGGAGGGAGCTTCTAATATCCCAGCAAATCTCTATTTTGCTGCCGGTCAGATGGGTGTGATCACTTCGTGAAAATTCAGTAAGCTATTTCCTTATGATTTCTGGATTTTTTTTTTTTTTTTTTTTGGTATACATTTATGTTTCAGTAAGTTTGCTTAGAAAAGGATTACTGAAAACATTAAAAAGTAACACCTGGGTGGGGCACCTGGGTGGCTTAGTAGGTTAAGCGTCTGACTTTGGTTCAGGTAATGATCTCATGGTTCATGAGTTTGAGCCCTGCGTCAGGCTCTGTGCTGACAGCTCAGAGCCTGGAGTCTGCTTTGGGTTTTGTGTCTCCCTCTCTCTCTGCCCCTCCCCCACATGTACTCTGTCTCTCTCTAAAAGATAAATAAAACATAAAATTAAAAAATATATATATCACTATGAAATCTGTGTGTCTTCCTCCCTCCCTCCCTCCTTAGTTCCTTCCATTCTCCCACTTTCCCTCTTCCCCTTCTTTCTGTCTCCATCTCTCTACCCCAAAAAAGCAATAAAAAATTATGGCAACTTTGTAAGAATCTTTAGGAAAAAGTCAATTTAAGTCTTCATTAAGATAAATAAGATATAAATGACATATTAAATGACTAGTAATTAGCTAAATAACAGTAGTAAATAAGTAGGAGGCTATAAAGGTATGACAAACGTTATAAATGGTAATTTCAAAGGATTTACTTATAAATTTAAAAAGTAAAAACCAGCAATGGAAAAGGAAAGTCATAAAAAAATTTGAAAACAGGAAAGTCATAGTTAAAAGTAAGCCAAAATATTTGTAAGAAAATGAGAAAGTGTTCACAGCATAAATGCTCACACAAATTGACATAAGAAACATTAAACAATGGAATGGAAAAATAGAATAAAGGAGATGAGCAGACAGTACACAAAATATACATAAATATACACAAACTTAAGACAAAATGTCCATATTCTCTCTCTCTCACACACACACACCACAAAGTAGAACAAGTTATAAAATTTATCCTATAGAGGTGCCTGGCTGGCTCAGTTGTTGGAACATGCAACACTTATCTCAGGGTTGTAAGTTCAAGCCCCACATTAGGTATAGAGATTACTTAATAAAATCTAAAACACACAAACACACACACACACATATCCTGTAAATTTAAAGGTTTCCATTAAAAAAAAAAAAATTCTGAAAGTGGATATAGTGAACCTGAGACTCTCATATAAGCCCCCACCCGTTATAATACATGCCAGATTAAGACCCTGGCACGTTGAAAATTCTCACCTAGGAGACTACTCTATAGTATGAACACTGAACTGTAATCTTATGATGTCTGTAAACAAAAAGTCAGCCATATTTGTTTATGCCAGTTCTTATCCTTGCAAGCTACTAAGACAATCATTTCTATAAAAACAAAGCTGAATATTTTAGGTTCTTGTTCTACTTTAAACTGAAACTAGAAATAATAGCCTATGTAATATATGATCTAAACAAGAAAAAATTGGCTGGACCTAGAATGAAACCAAAGGCCAAACTAGACATCCAAAAACTGGCCTATGGTAAGGAATTTTAATGTTTTGATTTTTAAGATATATGTAAAATATTTAACTATTTAAAATTAATAAACCAAACACTACTTTGGATTCTACTGAATCAACAACTTCAGTAAACAATGCTAATAGGAAAACACAGTGTTAGCCCATCTTAGATCAATATGAAAGGAGAAATGTTCTTTCCTTTTGCAGAGCATCAGCTTAAATTAAAAAGAAAACGAGGATCATGTTACCTGGTCACAGAATTAATTTGTTTTCTGAGGTATGATGTCTTTCATTACCTTTCTTTGTTGTTACTGATACAAGATAATATGGAATACAGAATATTTATGACAGAGGCAGTACTGGTTATATTAACACCAGGGTTAATGTATCAAGAAGTCTGTAAATATTAAAACCCTATGACCACAGAATTGTACTTCTGAGAATCAATACTTACTAAATACTAAATAATCCATACTGAATCCTAATAAAATAGTAAACAATCCTCACATTCTGCTGATAGTCTTACTGCTTACTTAAACAAGGAATCAGAAGCAACTGAAAGAAAAATACATATTCTCCCCTTCACATTATTCAACCAATCTGTGTCCGTATCATTGTCATAAGCATGGGTTTTCTTCATAAATTGGCTCCTATTCTTTCCCATCTACTGAAGGCTATTCCGTACAATATTATCTATCTTTCTACTCCATCAATTTTCATTTCTTTGAAATCATTCCCTTCAACATTTAATATGTTCTAATACCTCACATCGTAGAAGACATTTCCTGTATCCTATGTGTCTACTTTTATGGCAGAATTCCTTCAAAGAGTTGTATATATTTTTAACACGGTCTCATCTCGCATTTTCTTTTTATTTCCCAAAAACTTTAAAAGTTTACCGCAGAGCACCTTTAACATACACGAAAGCAGAATAGTTTAATAAATGTCTATACAGCTATGACCCAGCCTGAACAACCATCAACCCCTGACCAACCCAGGCCAATGCACACCCCAATCCACTCTTCTCATATTATTTGACACAAATACCATATATTCATTTTTTCTACTTACAGGATTTGTTTCTAATAATACCATTATCCAAACCTAAAAAAATGGACACTAATTCTTTAAGAATATAAAAAATGAGTGTTCATACTTCCAACTGTCTCAAAGATAAAATTTTAAGTAATTTAAAAATAGTAAATTTATCCCCCCAAAAAATCCATAGAATACAACTGGTTGACAGGTCTTTTACATGTCTTTTAATCTACAGGTTGGTTCTCCTGCAATCTTTCAATTTCCCTTGTAATTTATTTGTTGAAGAAACTGTTTTGACCCCATAATGTTTCCCATTTCTTAATTTTGCGGACTATATTCCTAAGGGGCAGTAGAACATGTTCCTCTATCTTCTTCCCATAAATTGGTAGTTGGCTTTAGAAACTTGATCAGACTTAGGACCAATTTTATTGGCAAAGTTACTTCATAGGTGATATTGTGTCCTTTCATTAGAAGTATGTCTGATTTTCTCTATTTCTGTGACATTATCAGTATTGATGTTCAATGCCTAGATTCAGTTGTTCATTATGGGTTCCAAAATGGTAATACTCTAATTCTGTCATCTTTCATTTATTCACTGAATACTTTTAAGAAAAACATCCATCTAATACCTATTGGTACAGTTCTTATAAGGAATGCAGAATACTTCTTTTCCTTTATATTTATATTTTCTAGTAAGTTAAATCTCTAGTAGTTTCCAATGGTGAACAATTTACTATTAGTAACACTAAGAATGTATGGAATTAAGCATATTTTATGTATTATAACATATTACAGTTATGTGTATAGTCAAATAGTTCCATCTTTGACCAGCTAGAGCCTCTTCAAACTGCTTCCTGTTCTCTGACCACCCTATTTAAAGTTACCCAACTCACCCAACATAATTGTCCATATTCTTACCCTACCTACTTTTCTTTTTTTTTAATATGAAATTTATTGTCCAGTTGGTTTCCATACAACACCCAGTGCTCATCCCAACAGGTGCCCTCCTCAATACCCATCACCCACCCTCCCCTCCCTCCCACCCCCCATCAACCCTCAGATCGTTCTCAGTTTTTAAGTGTCTCTTATGGTTTGGCTCCCTCTCTTTTTTTTTTTCCTTCCCCTCCCCCATGGTCTTCTGTTAAGTTTCTCAGGATCCACATAAGATACTTTTCTTCATAATACTTAATCACTTAAGATATTTGGTAACCCATTTGTTTGTTTATTGTGACTTCCCTACTACAATGTAAACTTTATGAAAAAAGCAATGAAGAAATACATATACAAAAAATGGATTGGAAACAAATTAGATCCAAAGTACAGGTAAAATGGTTGTCATTACAGGGGTACCTGGGTGGCTCATTCCATTAAGCACCCAACTCTTGATACCAGCTCAGGTCGTCATTTCACATTTGTGAGATGGAACCCACCATGCTCAGGGCTAAGCATGGAGCCTGCTTGGGATTTTCACTCTCCCTGTCTCTCTGCCCCTCTCCTGCCCATGCTCTCTCCCTTTCCCACTCTCTCAAAATAAATAAATAAACATTTAAAAAATTTTCCTTATTTAAAAAAAAGGTTGTCATTATGGAAGAAAGCTTTCCCCTACTGAAATGACAGGGAAATAGAAGTGAAGAAACAAGTAGCAAGCCATAGTACAGATGACATTTCCTTGGTGGCTCATGCTGAGATCTAAGTTTTCTTCCCAGGTTTCAGGTCTTTTCTTCATTACCAGTATCTATGGTGTGCGTTTCCTTCCCAACCAGTAGGCCATGCTATGCCATAACCATGTATCTCTGCCTGATTAGCACTTACTCACCTAGGCTCCTTCTTCTTCTCTCATCCCTCACAACCATCCAGGGTTCTTTCCCTTGCTCTAGTAGGGTAATCACATCTGGCTTAGAAATGGTACACCCTGCTTGAAAAAAACATAAGGGTATGTAACAAAGAATTTATTTGATCAAGCCTGCAGAATGAAATAGAGTAATGGGATTGAAAAAAAACATTCATAATAGTGTTACTTCAGGATCACAAGGAATAACAAGAATAGAAGTAGGAACATTGTCTTATTTAAACTCATACAAACTCTGTCTCTTAAGAGGAAGGAATGATCTTTTTTTTTAAAGAAGAAATAATGATTTGAGAACACTGGTTTTCAAATCCTGGCTCTGCTACCTGGGTCACTATGGCCTTAATTTTCTGTTGTAAAAAAGAAATACTGTATCTAGCCAAAGGACTGTTGTGAGGTTTGATTTAATAAATGTAAAGTGTTTGGATGAGTGTTTAGTACACAGTACACGCTATGCATACTTATTAGGGACTTTTGTTAGATATTTTTGCTATTTTTTGTTCTTTTGCTAAGAGGAAAATAATTAGTTTCTTGCCAGGATATTCATCCAATATCAAATGCAAAATTCATGTATTTTAAACTTTTACGCATAAATCACTTAAAAGGTAATATGTCTGTTGTGGTAAATTCAATGGTCCACTTGAGTTTTAATAAACTGTTGATTCAACCCAGCAACACATATGTTGTATAAGCTTTTTAAATAGATATGCGGAGCCAGATACCTCTGGTCTTCCTACTCACATTCAGGTGAAGTAACAGATAATAGACCATGTATAGCAATAAGAAACCAGATTTCTTTGATAACTGGTTTTTCTATAAGTGTCTCAGAATTTATATCTAGCTGTCATTAAAGAGAAGTAATTATGGAGAAGGCAAAGAAAGACATAAAGGTCACTAAATTATCGGGGAAGCTGAAGGAGCTATTTAAATGCTTAATGGCTGCAGGTGCCTATTCCTAAATACAAAGAAAATATTCAGCTAGCTTCTAGAAAGACAGCCGTGAAATTCAGTCCTATGAATTTCTAAATTATATGACACAGATAAGCTTACCCACTGACACCAAGTTGCTATAGTTCTCTAATATCACATCTCTGTACAAATTCCTCTGATATGAGTTCAGGCATTCCCACTCTTCCTGAGAAAAGTCTACAGCCACATCTCTGAACATCACCAAATGCTGAAATGACAAACCCATGTATTATTTCTAAAATTATTTATTTCTGTAAAGGGCCAATATTTTAAGCTTTGCATGCCACATATGGTCTGTTCCATATCCTTTCCTTTTCCCTTCTTTTTTTAAACAATTCCTTCAAAACATAATTAGCTCAAAGGCTGTATGAAAACAGGCCAAGGGGGGCACATGGGTGGCTCAGTCGGTTAAGTCGGTCCGACTTCGGCTCAGGTCATGATCCTGTGGTTCATGTGTTTGAGCCCTGCATCAGGCTTTGTGCTGACAGTTCAGAGCCTGGAGACTGCTTCAGATTCTGTGTCTCCCTCCCCTCTGCCCTTCCCCTACTCATGCTCAAAAATAAACATTAAAGAAATTTTAAAAAATTTTAAAAAATAAAAATAAAAACAGGCCAAGGGACGAATCTGGCCCATGAGCTGTAGTTTGCCAACCACTGCTAGAGACAAAACTTCCTGTGGGAAGGGGGATACTTCCCTTAATTAAGCACTGTGGGATACTTAATTTTGTTTACTTCTAGATATGTTCATATAAATTAATCACAATTTCACAATTAACTGGAATAGTGATCATAAAAACACTGCTTGCAATGGGCTTAAATGGGCCTAAAAAAATTCTCAATAAATGTGTTTCATTCTAACTCCTTTTCCTTTAAGGATTAGAAAAAAAATTGATGGATTTTTTTCCCCTTCAAATGAACCATAACATTTCTATTTTTAAAAAGTAGAGTTTGGGGGTGCCTGAGTGGCTCAGTCGCTTCAGTGTCTGACTCTTGATTTTGACTCAAGTCAAGATGCCAGGGTCGTAGAATAGAGCCCGTGTTGAGCCCTGCTTTGAGCCATGCTCAGCATGGAGCCTGCTTAAGATTCTTTCTCTCTCTCTCTCTCTTTCTTCCCTCTGCCCTTCTCCCCCACTTGCACTCTCTCTCTCTCAAAAACATAAAAAAATAAATTTAAAAAGTAGAGTTTGTATAACACTAAAAATTTCTTCCAGACCTCTCTTCATCATTGTATCATTAGCATTTTTTGTTATAACAAATACTTTGCTGAATATTTTTAATTTACTAAACAATAGTCCATTTGTGTTAGACTTAGTAATGATTATATTCATATGTTTCTATACTTTTAAATATATTAAGTCATATTTAAAATTTAAGTTATACAAAATCTCTGAAGCTGCAATGTCCAGTATTCTAACTTAGACACATGTAGTTATTGAGCACTTAAATTGTGGCTAGTCCAAATTTAGATGTGCTATAATTATAAAATACATACCTGATATTAAAGACTTTAGAAAGAAAAAAATGTAAAATATAATTTCCATACTGATTACACTTTAAATGGTAACATTTTGACTATATATACTGAATTAAATAAAACATTAACCGTACATGTTACTTTTTACTTTTTTTTAATGAGACTACTAAAAAGTTCAAGATGACATAAGTGCCTTGCATATTATTCTATACTCTTTATGAGATGATATGCTGCCTACTGCACTTAAGGCACTAATTCTTTGGGGTGCCTGGGTGGCTCAGTCAGTTGAGTGTCCAACTCTTGGTTTCAGCTGAAGTCATGATCCCAGGGTTGTGGGATCGAGCCCCACATCAGGCTCCACTCTGAGCATAGAACCTGCTTAAGATTCTCTCTTTCTCCCTCTGTTCTTATCCCCAACTAGTGTGCGCTCTCTCTTTGTATATCTCTAAAATTTTTAAAACAACACCAATTCTATACTTTTACCATGTGACTACTAGACAATTTTAAATTACATAGGTAACTCATATTATAATTCCTTTAGATGGAGCTGCTCTAAAGTGATCTCCAGTACTGAGTCGCAGATCAAACAATTTCCTCTATGGACTTCACTTCTATTTTATCTCTGCTCTAGGCAAAGACTGAACATTTAGGAGATGCTGAATAATTTGGTCAATATACACATGGACATGGATGGAGAAGAGAGAGGCAAACAGAAGGGGCCTGGGCTGCCTGATTCCATCCCTTGCTAGAATGGAAGACTAGGAAGAAGCTGTTGGGTGGGGCTCTATTAAGAAGTTTCAGGATATCTAATGAGAATGTTCACATAACCTGAAAAAAATTACCGTACTTTAAATAGAAACACCAACTTACATGAGCCATGATTTTAGAGTTGCAAGAACTGGTTAGTTTTCCTCAAAGATCACTTGCTGGAGAAGCTGAGTCCATAGAAGCTAGAGCTGGGGGAAGAAGGTAAAGCCATAAGAACAAAATTGCCTCAGAGCTCCCAAATTTTAAAAAGTCATACTACTACTCCCTTCCTACAACCCTCTCCCCCCAGCAACACACAGACAAGTTATAAGAGGTAGGATGTAGTTTAGACAAACAGATGTCCTCAAATCCACAGGAAAATCAGTTGCACAAGGACAGACACACAGCAGAGACTCTCTTGCATGGAAGCACATATTCATATACTTTAGCAGGAGTGTTTCCAGTCAGTCTCCTGCCCCAGGGAGGCTGATCTGGACCTGAGAATGGATTGTCTAGGCCTGTCCTGAGCAGATCCATTTCCCTCCATTCCCACCTTCCCAGCCAAGAAGTGGTTACATCATCTAACCCAGAACTTGTTTCTAAGACTCAGGAATGTGGCTGGGCTCCCTAAACCTAAACATAGAAAATACTATGGACAAGAATTTCCTAAACTTTGCTAGACACTGGAATTACCTGCAGGTCTTTAAAATATACTGATGCCTGGCTCACATCTCTCATTTTTATTTAATTAGTACAGAGTGTGACCTGGGAATCAGGATTTTTAAATTCCCCTCAGATTTTATAAAATTTCTGCCAGGTTATCATAATGAGCAACAAAGTTTGGTAATCAAACTTTGTGTGCATCAGATTCCCCTGGAGGGCTTATTAAAACACAGTTTGCAGGGCCTCACTCTTAGAGTTTGGAATTTAGTAGGTATTTGGGGTTGGGCTTGAGAATTTGCAGTTCTAACAAGTTCCCAAGTGATACTTGATGTTGCTCGTCCAAATGTCACAATTTGAGAAAAACTTGCATAGCCCATGCTAGCGGTCTTTATCATGACAAAACTATACTTGCACACTGGGATCCCTTCCCAGGGGGAGGATGAACTACCATTCGCAGGCCCTCAGAGCTCACCAGTCACTACATATCTGTTCAGAATCATCAATACTACCTGCATGATCTCATTTATCAACCCATCTCTCTTGGAACCCAGGCTGGGGAAAAGTGAACTTGTGAAACCTGACCATGGCTAATTCTCTAGAAAGTAGAAATAACTCATTTGTTAAAACTAACTAATAACTAAGGAAATCCATATTAAAGGAATTGGACTAGATTTGAAAAATTGATAATACTACTTACTACTAAAGTTGTGGGGAAATGGACACTTAAGGTATGATGTAGAATGATGTATGGGAAGTGTTTATAATGGGACCAAAAAAGCTGGAAAGAACCTAAATATCTTTTAGCAGGTTAAATAAATTATTGTGCATTCACACAATGGCACTAAAAACCCATGAAAAATGAGGGTGCCGGGTTAGCTCAGTGAAGAGTATGCAACTCTTGATCTCAGGGTCATGAGTTCAAGCCCCATGTTGGGTGTAGAAATTACTAAAAACATAAGTAAGTAAACTTTAAAAAAGTAAAATAAATTTTAATTAAAAAAATACTAGAAATGAAGGTAAAATTCTTATTTGATATAATGGAAAGATGGTAACTACAAATTGCTGGTAGAAGGTAGGTTAGGAAATAGTTTTATAGTATAATTGTATATTTGGCAGGAAACCTACTTACATAAACATACATGTATATGATGAGGGAGCATAAGGCAAGCTAATACCTCACAAACCCTCCCCTCCTCCCCCTGCCCCCCATGAAGGTGGGATATGTGTGATATTCCTCAGACCCTTCTGGCTGCCCAAGAACAAAGGAAAGGGAAGAAAACAAATGGTTAACTGATAGAGATCACAGTCATGCAGGACATGATTCTCCATCACTTTACATATGTCTTAGTAAATGACAAAAAAAAAAAAAAAAAAAAAAAGAGGGCAATCTTATCAATAACCCAATCTCCAGAAACCTATAGACTCAGTTTCCTGGAGCCCTAACATCACCTTCCTCTCCATAGTGATGTGGGGGACAAAGGCCAAGAAAGAAATGGCAGGTAAAATTAAATTTTATGGTCTACTTCATACTGTAAAGAATCCTTCAGAAATTCAGCCAAACAATTCACAGAGTGTCACCTATATCCCACTTGGTAAAAAGTGTTCCTGTCTCTGAAATGACCATGAAGTGAAAAGCTGGGTAAGTAATAGCACATAGAAAGCCTGTTGAAAGAATTGCTCGGGCAGTTTGAACATTACCACCCAATAACTGATTTCTTAAATAATTTATAAAACATTCATAAAATGGAATACTAAAGTAATCATTAAATGCTAAGTTTTAGAAAACAGTTAAGGAATAGAAAGTATTTTCAAGATACACTGAAAGAAAAAAATCAGTTTACAAAACAATATATGATTAGTTATTTTATTTATTTATTTGTTATTATTTTTTAACATTTATTTATTTTTGAGAGACAGAGCACCAGGTAGGGAGGGGCAGAGAGAGAGGGAGACATAGAATCCAAAGCAGGCTCCAGGCTCTGAGCTGTTAGCACAGGGCCTGACATGGCTCGAACTCGCGAACCATGAGATCATGACTTGAGCCAAAGTCGGACGCTTAACCAACTGAGTAACCCAAGCGCCCCAATATGATTAGTTATTTTAAATCATCAGTATGAAACAGATATCAATAGATGGGGGAAAAAATCTCTATATTTCAATTCTGACATTTTAAAATTAATTTTAATTAAGTCTCTCAATTTAATTTCCATTTCTATCTTAAGAATTGTAATTGCTTGGAAGATTTCTCAAACAAGAAGGGGACTACTGGGATTTTACCTTTCCCCATAGATCCATGATTCAAAAATCCATGAGGACACTGAATGTCTCTTCTAAACTAAGAACTAGAGGGGGACTCCTGGGTGGCTCAGTCGGTTAAGGGCCCAACTCTTAGTTTTGGTTCAGGTCATGATCTCACGGTTTGTGAGACCAAGTTCCACAACAGGGCTCTGTGCTGACAGCAGGGAGCCTGCTTGGGATTCTCCCTCTCCCTCTCTCTCTGCCCCTCCCTCACTAGCACTGTGTCTCTGTCTCTCTCAAAATAAATAAATAAACTTTAAAAAATTAAACTAAGA